TTCTTATTTCAGAAACAATTTTTTTCTTTTTTTAAATCAGCAGTGGGGACAAGTGAGGGAATGACATATTGGTATATTTTAATTACCTAAAATAAATAAAAAATAAAAATTGATAATTTTATTTTTATTCTTTTGTTAGCTTGCATTCTGAAGGACACTTTCCCTGAATTTTTTTTCTTCGTAAGCTGTAAAACAAACATAAAATATACTGGGGACATGAAAATGACTGTTTTTGTGAGAATGACCCATATATACTTTTTATAATTCCACGCTTTAACCGCGTGAACATCTCTTTGCGGGCGATTGTCTTGTCTCTGACAATCTTAAAATAAGATGGAAGTGTTTAAATTGTATATGACACACAATTTTAAAAAAAGGTTTCAAGAGCTAATCATTAAAGTAAGCTATGCAATTAATAAACAAATTAACAAAGGATAACTAACAAAACAAATATGTAAAAAACAAATTAGCGAAAGATAACTAACAAAAATTAAGCTAACAAATAATAATTAGCAAAAAAACTAGTTAAGGAGAAATCATAAAAAAATAACAGTTAATGTTAACAAAAAAAGTAACAGTCAATAACTATAGAAAAAAGGCTAACAATTAATAACTAGCAAAAAAATAACTGTTACTAACTAATAAAAAAATGGATCGAAAGAAATAATTAATCCCTTAATAAATGTGCTTTTGCAGTACATATTATTTTATTTCACATTCAAAATTATTATCCCAAACTATTTAACACAGTGTAATTTTAGGTAAGTAAACAACTTTTAAACTAATTTTTTTCATTGCGTGCCGTCAAATTTCGAAATCGTTAAAAGTGTGCCGCCCCCCCCAAAAAAAGATTGAGAATCACTGTTTTAGCCTATAAAAGTTCCTTCTTTATTGCAATCACCCATGAAATTTTTACTAATTTGGCTTCTCTCAATTATTTCTAGTTGGAAAAAAAATGTCTTAACATTTTTATTTATTTAGAATTTTGTTGCTCGTGTCTTGGTTTTCTTTTTCTTTTTTTTTTTCAATTCCTACTATTAGTTCACACTCTCACTATATATTGTTCAAATTTTTAATCGTTCGTAAAATATTTCTTATTCATCCACTTAAGTTCAAATACATTTTGTGGATGACACTTGTAGTTAATACAGTTTTTTCAAATATTAATTCATTATATAAATTTAATTAATTACTTTTAGTTTTATATAGAAGAAAAAATTTCAATAATTTAATAAAAAGTAACTAAAATAAAAATTTTCTTTGTTGACCGCGAAAAAATTAAAAAAAATTTTAATACATTGCTTGTTTTATAGTATTCTGCCTCAAAATTCTGAAGTTTGATGTCTGTAATCTTTAAACATAAGTGGTGTTTTAATTGTTTATTCTTAAGTTTATAAAAATATTCTATTTTTTTTCGGCTAAGTTAGCATTTGATTCTCAATTACTTTTTTTTTTAAAGTAAATGCTGTTTTAAAATTTTGATTTTCAAGAAAAATTTAGAATGACGGTAGTGTAAGCAATAGCTTTTATCTCCGCTTTCAAATTTCATTGAAAGAAAAATTATTTTGCTCTTTTAAATTTTTTTCATTACTTCTTACACTTAAACATGTTTTGTATTAAAAATTATTTTTTAAAAAAATATTTATTTTGATTTAATTTTTCTTTTTTATTGCCTTCCTCTTTCTTGTTTCACAATTTGGTGATATATTTTTTCCTTAAACCTTATTATGGGATTTGAAAGTTTTATATTGAGAATACGTTTAAAATTCTAGAAATTTTAGAGAAACTTTTTTACCGTCAACCTCAAAGTCTAAATCATTTTTTTTATCTCTATTACATGTTAATATCTACACCCTATTAAGAGAGTTAATATTGTTATATAGAGAATTAGTGTAGAGTTTTGGTCAAAAAGTTTCTTTTACAGTTAACCTCAAAACCGCTTAAGTTAATTTCATTATTTCCGTGACATTTTCTTTCATGCACCCTATTAAAAGATAAGAAAATTTCATTTCGATAAAACATGTAGAATTTTAGAAATTTAAGTGAAAAAAATTTTTTTAGCCCGGAGATATCACGAGCACAAGAAATAGAGGCAGAAACCCCCTCGACATTTTGACGGGATTAAAAAAGAAAAACTTAAAAGATTTGGAGCTTTTACTTCCTTTCAAAATT